CCCATCAACTGCCGCCGTGATGTGGGGTAAATAAAGGACGTCGGCTTGTGATGCCCTCGAGAAAGCACGGGAATAGTTATGCTTGCGTGACGCTGCATCGATTTACAGCTCAAAGCGTAAGCTTTGAAATTATTTACCCGGGAATGATGAGCGGGAGAGACACGCGAATAATCTCGTAACGACTCGGACGTTTTCACCACCGAATTACTTGCGATAACTGCATTGTGCAGAAACAACGTTTCACTTTAGATTTTATTCGCGTTAAAAAGATCGCCCCCTTTCAAATATTTGCGTAACTTCTCGGGCGAGTCAAGTTCTTGGTTTTTTCAAAGCTTCACTTTAATCCCCGTATATTTTCGACACTTTTTACCATAACAATTTGCAGTAATAAACTTGGACGGAGTTACGGCGAATCGCTTAAGTGGAACTTATTCCGCCGTAACTTGAGACAAACGCGCGATTCAGTCGCCGTCTTTCGCTCGGAATCCAGACGAATGGAGAACTCAAGAGGTCGAAACTACGACTGCGTCCCCTCGAGTGCGCCCGGGGTCCCCTTTCTCGTTTCTCGCAGCGGGGAAAAGCTCTCTTTATCTCGTCAAGTCGGCGCCCATCTCGCAACGCTTCCGCCTCGAGCGGCAACGAGAGAGGACTGACCCCCTCACGCGCCTTTCTCTCTTTCTCTCTCGTTGTCCCGCGCGAGTCTGCAGCAATTTTGTACATCGCGAAAAGTTTCACAATTAGTCTTGGAACTTTCATAATTCCGTAGCTTAACCCGCCTTGTTTTGCGGCCGAGCGTTACCGCGGTCGGTTTAATTTATCATTTCACCTCTCGCCCGGCCATTCCGACTTTTCCTCGGCTCACACCTCCCCCCCCCCTCTTCCCCCCCCCCTGAACGTGCTCCATCGTCCTCGTTCGCTCCTGTTCGTCCCGCGCAATTTCTCACTTTGAGCCGAATCTCGAAGGCGGAGCGTTTTAATGAGATTTCTTTCTCCGATTAGAGATTGGAAGGAAATTCTTCGGGACGAAAGTAATCCGCGTGTCTCTCATGCGATCGTTAAATATCATAAATAACCAAGCAGGTTCGTGTGGTTAGCGTGCGGTTATTTTCGTGGAGCTTATTATCAGCAAATCCTCCGCGCGAGTTTTGTTCGATGTTTTTAATTTAAAAAAAAAAAACGAAAAAACAACTTCCGGAGTCGCGTAGACGGGATCGTACGTGTATTTCGAGCGAAATCACAGAATGCGGGTTTAATCTTACTCGGAGCGACGCGAATTATGTAAGTTGAATTCCATATCAGGCTCATTTAAGCGGAAGAGAGAGACTTTGCGGTAAATGCGCGCGAGGGAATGCCAGACGGATGCAGTGACAGGTGTACGGACACGGCTACAGAAACTCGCGGCCGCCAGGCAACCGCCGGGTATTATCCTATTAAATACGTCGGTCGAACAAAGAGTGAAGGGGTGGAGGTCAGCCGCAGTCGCGCCACGGTCGTGCCCAGCGCTCTCTCCGCCATTCGCCCGCCGTCGTAAAGTTACATTGCGGCGGGATAATGTTCTGCGAAGCGGCGCGCCGGTGCGGCCGAAATCGCGCGGGGTCGACAGGAGACATTTCTGCGCGCTGCACGCGATTTCATTCGTGAATTTTTCAGCGATCCGGACGGATCTGTAAGAAAGAAATTGAGATCTGACGAGGCACGGAGCAGCATCCAGGTGACTCTTCGCGCAAGCATCGTCTACTTCCGCTGGAGCACGAATTCTATCGCGAGTTTTCTCATCAAGAGCACGCGGCTGTAAACAGTCGAGGATGCGGCAAATCTGCGCGACAATTAAGCCAGACGAAAGATTCGCGCTGTGTCGACCGACGCCGTGACACGGCGGTGACAATGGCGGGGTATTTCGACTGCCGGTAAATTTAGTCGCGCAAAGTTAAAGACTCCGTCGTCTTGGGAACCGGGGTTCGAAAGAGCGAGGGGGGGAGAGAAGGAGAGGGACGCGAGGAACGAGCGGGAGAGAACCCGGTGAGACTCGGCGACGGACGGACGGGCGGGCGGGCGGGCGACGGCTGCTCGAAGATGGTCAGGGGAAGGGCATGACAAAGGAGGACGGTGCGAACTCTGGCTTCTAGGTAACTTAACTGCTCCTCCTGGTCTTTGTGCGAAACTTAAAGACGCCGTATAGTTCGGGGCAGGCGATAGCGCACGGCGGGCGAGGCGAGGTCGGGATTGTGTGTGCGCTCCTGGCGACTTTGAGCTTCACGAAGCGAAGAGGCGGGGGGGGAAGGGGGAGGGAGGGTTGGTTACACTGTGCACTACGTGCCGGGAGCAAGCCGCTCGGGCGTCTGCGACACATCCCGCAGCCGCAAGGCCGGGGGGGGGGTGGAAATGAGGCGGAGAGGCGGGGGGTTCGTTT